TTTTTTTAAACTTTTTTATTAATTATTAATAGTTAATTTGTTCCTACTGCTAAATTTTGGTTTAAGAACAATTTATTGCTTACTATAAATTACTACAGTATTAAATGTGGCAAATCATTAATTAAAAGGTTATTAGAAAGTTAAGCAAATAAACACTATTAAATAGTGTTATACATTTTACATGTGAAAAGAATTTTACTAAATATAGACCTAATGTATTATTGCCTATATTAACTTGCTATTTGTTCCTTCATTATAAATGTATCCATTATATAAATCAAACCTGTCCAATTTAGATCGTTCAGCAAGGCCAGCAAACGAGTATCTGCCATGTAAAATGTCAGATAATAATGACTGATCAGCTATAATGACTGATTAAAAGTCTAATGACTGTTCAGTCTATTATATTAAATGCTGATCGTAAACAATGCTCCCCGCTCACCGTCTCAATCGCAATATTTGTAAAAAAAAATAAACACTATTGTTTATTGTGTACAATATTTATTAACCATATATATTAAAATATATCGATGACCATGTTCAAAAAGACGTTAATAACATTAATATCCGTCGTAACCATATATGGTTTGCCTAAATCGTGTTTCCTAGATTGTGTGTGCCTAAAACGTGTGTGGTTCTGCTGGCCTGCAGCTGGATATTATTGGATAAAGGAGTCTAGACTCTCCCAGTTCACTATGATAAGAGACACGTTCTTGTCAGTCTGTCCTACATCACACTTTTCACTCGCTTACTTCCATCATTTCTGGGAAGGGATTCAGAAGTCGTGCAGTGATGATGGGAATTGATTGTAATTTGAAATAGCCCCTCAAAAATTCAAGTCATTAGCAGCTGAAAAAAACAAATGCGGTGTAAAAATCTGCTAGCTTAAGAGCGTTTAACTTCCCCTTCAATGGAAACACATGCAGACAGAGGAGAGAGTTTATCTCGGTGGCTTTGCTGAGGGTGGAGTGACACTTTTTGAACAACTTTTTATCGAGTGACAAAAACTGCAACACCCGACAGTTCAGTTATCAGCTTCCTCACATTGTGCTGATGACACTTAAACAAACACACACTGTAGATCTCCTCAAAAGACAATTCACAGGAATGTACACTTGAAATTGTAATTCCCCTTCAGATATTTCCCAAGAGCTGCTTAACAGATTTTTTTTCAACGTTTTAAATGTAATAGTTAATAATACTGCGCATTTATTTACACTAAATCACATCTAAATGTCTACTCTTCCCATAATAGAAAAAATTATGATAAATATAATGTACTTAGATCACATCAAATGACTTGTGTTTGTGTTTCTGTTGTTGCAGGAGTTGCTGGAGCTGAGTGAACATGGATTACACCTGGGATTACTCCACTTCGGCTTATTCCCTGCTTTTATCAGGGGTTGAAAGGAAGCTCAGTTTTATTTTTTTGAAGAAATATGTCTGCAGATTGATACAATAATGTACTTTTAAGTAATACTGTAATAGTCATATTTTAAAATGAGAGGTTTGAAACTGTATTACTGTAAGCCCTGTTGTCATGAAAGAAAGAAAGAAAGAAAGAAAGAAAGAAAGAAAGAAAGAAAGAAAGAAAGAAAGAAAGAAAGAAAGAAAGAAAGAAAGAAAGAAAGAAAGAAAAGTCTTTTATCAGATTTGATTTGTATCCTAATTCGACCCTTGAATTGAGAAGTGATATTAAAATGCTTAAAATATCTATTTTTTTATCCTTAATTTAGTATTCAACTTTGTGCCTTAATTTTTGTATTCACTTTTCAAAAAACATCTTGAGTAAAATTTACAAATGTGTCTATTTTGTTCAATTTTATCCAAACTAAATTAAAATTATTACAAATATTGGTTTGTATTTTGAATTCTTTGTAATATGATTTCACAGAGGCGTCACAGTGGCACAGTGAAGTGCCTTTATTAATCAGGGGTTGCCACAGCGGAATGAACCACCAACTTATCCAGCATATATTTTACCAGCCGCAACCCATCACTGGAAAAAATCTATATTTTTATTTATTTTATTTCATTTGTTATTTTAATTTAATTTGTTTGTTATCTTATTTTTTTGTAATTTTTGTTTTTAAATTTTATTTGTTGTTTTTATTTTATTTTAATTGTAATTTTATTCAATTTTTTCGTAGTCACTAAGTTTATTTTTTACCTTTATTTAATTTGTTATTTTATTTAATTTGTTATTTTACTAAAAATAAAAATATTTGTTATTTTATTATTTTTTTCGTAATGTCATTTATTAAATTTTATTTTATAAAATTTTATTTGTTTTCTTTTTATTTTATTTTAATGGTTATTTAATGAGTGTATATGGATGTTTTCCAGTGATGGGTTTCAGCTGGAAAGGCATCAGCTGCATAAAACATTTGCTGGTTTATCCGAAAAGAAAATGAATGAATGGATGATTGTTATTTAATTCTATTTTTCTGTAACATCATTATTTTTATTTTTTAATTTAATTTAATTTGCTATTTTATTTTATTTTATTTTTCTGTGGTGGTAAGTTTTGCGCCTCCCAAACTAAGTGATAGTTCACCCCAAAAAGTAAAACTAACTCACTATTTACCTAAAGTGGTTCCAAACATTTCTGAGCTTAAGAAGATAATTTGAAGAATGCTGAAAACCAGTAACTATTGACTTTTATAGTAGGAAAAACAAATGGAAGTCAATGGTTACCGGTTTTCAGTATTCTTCATAATGTCTTTTTTGTGTTAAACAGAATAAAGAAACTTATAAAGAGTGAAGGATGACTAAATGATAACAGAATTTTCTGTTTTGGGTGACTATTGACTCCCATAGTAGGAAAAACAAAAGGAAGTCAATGGTTACCGGTTTTCAGCATTCTTCAAAATATCTTCTTTAGTCTTAAACAGAAGGAACCTATAAAGAGGGAAGGATGACTAGATGATGACAGAATTTTCAGTTTTGGGTGACCATTGACTCTCATAGTAGGAAAAACAAATGGAAGTCAATGGTTACCGGTTTTCAGCATTCTTCATAATATCTTCTTTTGTGTTCAACAGAATAAAGAAACTCATAAACGTTTGGAGAAAGTAAAGGATGAGTAATTTATGACAGAATTTTTTAGTTTTGGGTGAACTACCCCTTTAAAACTGTTAAAACATTGCAAAGACTGACATCTGATGGGCAATTGTTGAAACACGACCAGAATTTACATTTACTTTTATAATTTCATCCATAGCTACTTACATATGAGGACCAGGAGTGCCGGTTAGAAATAATATGAAGGATCAAATTATTCAATTTAACAACTGAAGCATAAAAATGTATATAAATAAATCACAATTTAAATGGATGACTAATGGACAAATCTGGATTTTATTTCTGACCGGCACTACTGGTCCTCCATACTTACACCGCACTGAAGGTATGCATCTTATCACTTCATTACTATTATTTTCCAATGCACTGGAACGAGGAAAATTAAAGTACAAGGGGAAAATAAACATGAGTGCGATCGAAACAGTGGCTCAGTGGTTAGCATTGTCACCTCACAGCTAGATGGTCGCTGGTTGGAGTCTCAGCTGGGCCAGTTGGCATTTTTGTATGAAGTTTACATGTTCTCCCCGTATTGGCATGGGTTCATTCCGCTGTGGCGACCCCTGATGAATAAAGGGAAAATAAATGAATGAAAATAAACATAAGTGCGCAGCCGTCCAGCAGGCGGAGATGCTCAAAAACACAATCTGAACCGCCAATAAAGCTGAAGAAGAAGAAGAACCGGAAGTAGACCGCGACAGAGGGACAAAGCGCCAGTAAACATGTCTCCTCCGTCTCACTTCGACTTCATTGAAGCCAGAGATAAATTTACGGTAAATTATCAACACAGTCATGTATAAATGTGCTTTTACGTTACCGGGCAATTTTAATATGTAGTTAGTTTTCCATTTTGTCAGATAAGTCGTCTCTCCGACGTCGTATGTTATATTAGGTCTGTCTGTCATAATATGTACGATGTCTTAAAGAGATAGTTCACTCAGAAATGAAATTCTGTCATCATTTACTTCTTTCAAAGCTGTTTGACTTCTGTTAAATACAAAAGAAGATGTTTTAAAGAAAGCTGGAAGCCGATAACCATTGACTTACATTTGTTTTTCCTACTATTGGAGTCAATGGTTACCGGTTTTCAGCATTCTTCACAATGTCTTAAGCTCATATAGAGTTGGAACCGCTTGTAAGCGAACTATGACTTTGTTTGTTATCAGTATTAGTTTTTTCTACTATGAAGTCAATGGTTACAGGTTTTCAGCATTCTTTAAAACATCTTATTTTGTGCTCAACAGAATAAAGACTTTCATAAATGTTTGGAACAACTTGAGGGAGAGTTAATAGTGAGCATATTTTCATTTTTAAGTGAACTAAACTTTAACAACGTTACATTTATCTGTCATTCTGTTGCATATAGTATATTATGATATTTCAATGCGTCATTTTAGCATATTGGGGTAAAGTTGGTTTGCTATTCACATATTCATACGTTCTCTTTAATAATATAGATAAAATTTTTAAAAAGGCTATAAAAAGAATAGAAAAGTAGGGAAATCATATTAACAGCCAATGACTTTGATAGTATAACATTGTTCACTGTCAGTTAAATAGTGCTAATGTTGTGGTGAAGTGATGCATGCTATTCCTGACTAGGCATGGGCCGGTGTAAAATTCTGACGGTATGATAACCTTGGATAAAAGTATCATGGTTTGATGGTATTGTGATCACTGCAGCTCTAAAAGTGTTATTTTTAAATGACTGGGTAAAAAACAAAAACTTTTTTTTCCTCTTTGAACACAAAATATTTTATTTTGAGAAACATTTTGGAACAGTATTCATTGATTTCTGTAATCAGTGAAATGAGTCATTGACTTCTGCTGTCTTCATATGTTTCTAAAACACACATTCCTTTAACGATTTATAATACCATTTTTGGATATCTTTTCTGCTGGACATACTGTTGTGCTAAAAAAACAACCAAAAAATGTAAATGAGCAATTTCACTGTTGTGAAACTCAAAACATAAATTCACATAGAAACTATATGTTAACATTATATTGAAATATCTGTTTATATTTTCCAGAACAACTCACCACAGAGTTATGGCCTCAATCTGTAAACATGTTTTGTACTTTTAAATATAGAGAAATAAGCATGCGTTATGGATGTGACCAAAAGTCTGCGAGTCTGCAGTATACAACATGCTTTGTAGAAATTTTGAGAATTAAACTACACAATCCTCCAAAAAATAATGTTAATCAACAGGATAAGAGTTGCTCTCTATTGAACAAACATGATTGATTTGATTTGACATTTTTGCATTCATGAGGTAAAAGCTTCGTTAAGGATGTGACTTTTTTTCTGTTATGGATGTGACCGATGTGAAATTGTCATGCATGTGACTTTGGTAAATTAAATAAAATTGTTTAAAAACATTGACAGGGACATTTCTGATTATTTCTAAAGTAATTTAAAATACTTGCTTACACAAAAAACGTAGAAACAGTTTCGATATTTTAGTGAAAACTTTTTTTCATGGCAAGGTTGACATTTGCATGGAATAGCTCATATAAAAAACTTACACACACCAAAGTCATTCTGAAATCTTTTTTTTTATTGTGTGTTTTTTTTCAGGTTGCCACTAAAAATGCGGTTGATACCAGGAACTGTAAGCCTCTGACCACCGCTTTCAGTCATCTTCCTGGAAAGTAATACTTGCTTTTTATCATCGTTATCATGTTTTATTCGCAGTTGTGCAGCAGGGATTGGTTTATAATGTGTTTTATATAGTGTTGTCACGATACTGGAATTCGAGACTAGTCTGTACTAAAATTTTAAAAACATACATTTTCCTCGAACATTTAAGCACTGTTGAGCGTGTTCTTAAACAGTGCTGATTTGACATTGTGTTCACATGCTCAACAGAAATGACTGTGATTGGCCATGAAGGTCATCAGTTCACCAAACTCACTGCTGTTTACCGAATGTAAACACCGATACAGGAACACTGGAGCGTTTCAAAGCTGTGAAGATCAGTCGATTCATTAGCAGATTACTTGTATGTCAGCTCATAAACAGACCAGCCAATCTTCACGGCTTTAAAGTGCTCCAGTGTCCCTGTACCTGTAGTTACACCCAGTAAACAGCGGTGAGTTCGGTCACAGTCATTTCTGTTGAGCATGTGAACACTATGGCAAATAAGCGTTGTTTAAAAACGCACTCAAATGTTAATTTTTAAATGAAAATTGACTTTTTTTTATTTCAGTACTGATTGGTATCGAATCCTATTATCGTGACAACACTAGTTTAATATATGTTTCACATTGCAGCTGTGTGTAGAATTTCTAAATCCATGAAAACAAACTTAATTTGTACTTCCACACATTAAAGCTTTAACAGCTTTTAAATTGAAGCAGAAAGACTTAAAGGAGACTTATTATGCCCCTTTATACAAGATTTCAAATAAGTCTGTGATGTCCCCAGAGTGTGTATGTGAAGTTTGAGCTCAAAATACCACACAAATAATGTTGTATAACTCTTGCCTTTTTGATCCTATAATTGTGGCGTTTTGGTGACTGTTTTGGTGACTGCCTGTGTGTCAGCATAGTGACAGATTCAAAAACAAGACTATCGTCCGATGCTAATAATACTGACACTGATTTTAAAATAAATGCTTAAAATAAATTAATGGAATCCACATGGAGACAAGATTCTCACAGAAATCAGTCACGTTTGGTGAAGGAAAAATCATGGTTTGGGGTTACATTCAGTATGGGGGTGTGCGAGAGATCTGCAGAGTGGATGATCAACATCTACAGCCTGAGGTATCAAGACATTTGTGCTGCCCATTACATTACAAACCACAGGAGAGGGACAATTCTCCAGCAGGATAGCGCTCCTCATACTTCAGCTTCCACATCAAAGCTCCTGAAAGCAACAAAGGTCAAGGTGCTCGATGATTGGCCAGCTCAGTCACCAGACTTGAACATTATTGAACATGAGCATTTTTATATTTAGAAGCTGTTCATGTTCACACAACTGTGTTGAAACCCCTTATAAAAGTGATTTCTGCATAATGGGTCCCCTTTAAAGTGTGTTAAAATTCAGGTTAAATCTGTGGCTTTAGATAGAAGCATAATTATTGATGAATTATAAATTAATATATACTTGTAGATGCATCTGTTAAATTTCATTACGTTTTTTTCCTCCCAGCGAAACGGAGAAAAAGGCCACACTTGATCAAGCTCTGCGTGGAGTTCTGGAAGAGCAGATAGTGAGTCCACAGCTTACTCATTAATATTACCTTTATTTAAAAACAGTAGCGTGCTTGTTTGTTTGTTTGTTTTTTTTTTGTTGTTTTTTTTTGCATACAAGTGAGATGCCAGTATTTTGTTTTGCAGGTGAATCAGAAAGTGAATGTTGACGACTTCCTTTCTTTAATCTACATCAGTATTGATGGTGTGACTGAAGGTATGTTTGTTTGTTTATTGCAGTATGATAATGATTTTCAGTTTTTTTTTTTATGATCCGTTATTATTATGTTGTGGGGCGACATGGTGGCTCATGGTTAGCGCTGTCACCTTCCAGCAAGAAGGTTGCTGATTCAAGCCAGGGCTGGGTCAGTTGGCATTTCTGTGTGGAGTTTGCATATTCTTCCCATGTTGGCGTGGGTTTCCTCCGGGTGCTCCGGTTTCCTCCACAGTCCAAACACATGCGCTATAGGGGAATTGATAAACTAATTTAGCCGTAATGTATGAGTGTGCATGCAAAAGTGTATGGGTGTTTCCCAGTGGGGTTGCAGCTGGAAGGGCATCCACTGCATAAAACATATGCTGGAATAGTTGGCAGTTCATTCCGCCGTGGCAACCCCTGATTAATAAAGGGACTAAACCGAAAAGAAAATGAATGAATTATTATGTTGTTCTGATTCATAGTATCATGAGAAAATGTGATCCATTTTACTTTTAGGATTCTTTGATAAAAATTATTATTATAAATAAAACAAATACATTTATTTACACTCACTCTTGAACAATTTATTGTGATGAATAAATGTAAATATGTTTTGATGGTACTTTTGAATGGTATTGTTGTATAAGTTTCCCTAACTGACACAAATAATAATAACAATAATAATACATTTTTCTTAAGCAGATCATGATATTAGAATATTTGAAGGATTATGTGACATAGCCCCTTTCACACATACAGACCTTTCCGGAAAATTGCCGGCAATTTTCCGGAAAGCTTGTATGTGTGAACAGGTCCTTTTTGAAAATACCGGTAAATTCGTTCTGGCTATTTTCCGGAAAGAGAAGTTGTAACATTACCGGCAATTTGCCGGAATGCTGCGCTGTGTGAATGCAGAAGGAAGATTCCCGTAATAAGCGCGTGCACGTCTAGAACGTGCTGACGTGAGACGTCTGCTTTAGCCAATCACAACAGTCAGACGCATTTACGTGCGCGCGGTTTGTGAGAATAAAAACCTTTGAATATTTTTCCAGACACATTTAGCTGCTAGAAGTTAGTCAGATCACGTTTACATGTTCTTCTTTATGCCAACTGTGTAAATAATCATCGATGAGGTGCTTATGATAAGCCGTTGTTTGTTTACCTTCAAGCTTTGCGTGTGCCTGTGAAACAGCCTGTGAGCGCCTGCACACACACATATTGTGAACATCTCGACATGAGAAAGTGATCCTGCGAAAGTTGTTCACAATATTGATCATCCACAGAGTTTGTAATGTAGTCAAATGTTTACAAATACAAGCGCAGCCGTTTAAAGCTCATTTGTGGTGAATGATGTCAGAATTTACCGGTATTTTGCGATGGATGTGTGAATGCTCTTTTCCGGAAAATTTCCGTAACGTCCTCGCCTGTGTGAGCAGCGCTTTTTTTGAATATACAAGTAAAGTCGTTCCGTAAATTTTCCAGATATTTACCGGTATCACTGTGTGAAAGGGGCTGAAGACTAATGCTGTGTTCACACCAGACGCGGAACGCACGGATAAATCACGCTATTCCAGGGTTTTTCAAAGTCTAAGACAGTGGGACAACTTATCCATTGGCGCCCCCCTCCTCCCAAACACGCACCAAACACACACACACACACACATATATATATATATATATATATATATAAAGACACAGACAGATGTCAGACTGTTAACTCACTTTTATCATCATTTGCATGAAAGTGCATTTATTTACAGAGTAATAAGTATTTTAATGTAACGTTTTTAAAACTAGGATGATGGTTCAATATGAATAGAACAGATCCAAGAACTGTCCATCCCAGTCAAAACAGTCGAAGTTTAGCGGGTCTCATGCTGTCATTAGCCACAATATCTTGACAAACCACACATAAAGGTCGTGGTTCATCAGCTGGTCCTGTCCACGTAAATCCTAAACTCAAATACTGATCATCATATCGTCGTCTTTTGGGTTTAAGCCCTGAACTTAAAGGCTTTGAATCAGGGGGGGTCTCAGAAACCGATCCATTGTATTAGCAGGCATATATTGGCGGGCTTGCCAAACAGAAGCGGATTCACAGCTATGGCCTTCTGGGTAAAAACGATTTTCTTATTTTAGACGTATTATTTTTTTAGCTTTGTTTAATTAAAACGTTTAAATATAATAAAAATACATATAATAATTAAACTTAATAATTATTGTTTTATTATATTATATATTTTCCCGCACCTCCCCTGACATGCTCTGGCGTTCCCCTGGGGAGGCGCGCCTCACACTTTGAAAACCCCTGGTCTATTCGCACGTAAATAGCCGCATAAACATTTGAGTTTACTCACTTCTTTCTCACATCAAATTCTCTTCAAAACAGCAGTGGATTCACATCATGGACGGGGCTTTTGTCTGCCCGGTGACTCTAGCTTGATTGCTAAATGGCTAACATCGATTTTATGAAGAAAATAGCTGTGTTTATGTCCTCAATGAAGGCTGAAAAACAGTGTCGATACGTTTGTTTAAGGGCCGTGTCTGAGTCCACTAGATCCTTTCAGAGGTGCATCGAGCTCTGTGAGCTCATCAACTCCTCCAGAAACCTAAACCTAAACCTAACAATCATGCCCCCACAAAAGCAAGCTCCTGATTGGTTAACGCGGCGCACCAAAATTGCACCAAGCCATTCGCGCATATTACGCTGCGGGATGTCTATTCGGGCATTTACATCCAATTAACATGTAAATCACATGCACTTGATGCTCCTTTCACATATGGTGTGACCACAGCATTTTAATGCTTGAAATTCAGCTTTAAACTAACTGCAATTTCAGCTGTTTTTATTCAATTTTAAACTACATTAGATAAAATAGCATTAATCTATTATTGACATAACAATTCAGTTTAACATTAACTGTGTTTTTTTTTAATGAAATTTAATGCAGCCATTGTGAGCAGAATAAGTTTGTTATCATTTTTTTTTTCACTTCGACATGTGGGTTGGTGGTGTGGAGTATATGAAAACTGATTTGCAGATAGTCATTTTTGCATTGATTGTGTGCATAAAGGCATCTGCTCTGCTACCACTCCTTTCCTTCTGCTGGGAGATGTGCTGGACTGTCTGCCTCTGGATCAGTGTGACAAAATCTTCTCCTTTGTCGAAGAAAACGTATCTACTTGGAAGTCTGTAAGTTTCAAATTTTTACTTGATGCTAGTTATGCTGTAAATTTGGATTTCCTATCTTTTACATCAACATTTAAAACTTCCACTATTGGTGAATAACGCATTCTGCTTGAGTTAAAGGTTTCTATTTACAAATAAGAAAGAAAATCTAAAACATTTTGAAACTTAACGGGAATGGTATTAAAACATTTATAATTTTTTGCATGAAATTAAAACTCTGCTGATATAAAGTATAATTTAACATTTTAGAAAGATTGTCATAATCTATATTGTAGTTCATTATAATAAATAAAGGCATCATTTAAATTGAAAGAAGACATTTAACTAAATGCTTCGATAAATCAACTTTGTTGTCATTATTGAGCTTAACCACTTATTTACCACTTGCTGCTATGTTATTTATGTTTGCCTTTGTTTCTTCTTACAGAACACATTTTACTCTGCTGGGAAAAACTACTTGTTAAGGATGTGCAACGGTGAGATTCAAATATTATTTATGTTTACAGTCTGAATCACTTTAAAACATTTTGAACTTGTCTGCTTTTGGCCATTTGCAAAGGTAGTTGAGGTCAGTTTAAGTCTGGTTATTTATTGTGAACTGTAATCAAGAAAGGTTTTTCTTATGGACTTAATAGAAAAAGGAAGTACAGACAAATATAAATTCAAATTTGTTTAATTGGTTTAAATTCAAATTCGGTTTAATTGTTTTGTACTCTAATTGGGTTTAGTCTGTCTTTATTCGAATTTGGTTTAACCGGTTTAAATTCGAATTTGCTGTAGCGATTTAAATTCAAATTTAGCTTAATAGGTTTAAATTTGAATTTGGTTTAATCGATATAAATTTGAACTCGGTTTAATCGATTTAAGTTAGAATTTGGCATAACGGGTTTAAATTTGAATTTGGTTTAATGGGTTTAAATTTGAATTCAGTTTAACCAGTTTAAATTCAAAATTGGTTTAATCAGTTTAAATTCGAATTTGGTTTAATCGGTTTAAATACGAATTTGGTTTAATAAGTTTAAATTCGAATTTGGTTTAATCAGTTTAAATTCGAATTTGGTTTAATCGGTTTAAATACGAATTTGGTTTAATAAGTTTAAATTCGAATTTGGTTTAATCAGTTTAAATTCGAATTCGGTTTAATCGGTTTAAATACGAATTTGGTTTAATCGGTTTAAATACGAATTTGGTTTAATCGGTTTAAATTCGAATTTGGTTTAATGGGTTCAAATTTGAATTGGGTTTAATGGGTTTAAATTCGAATTTGGTTTAATCGGTTTAAATTCGAATTTGGTTTAATCGGTTTAAATTCGAATTTGGTTTAATCGGTTTAAATTCGAATTTGGTTTAATCGGTTTAAATTCGAATTTGGTTTAATCGGTTTAAATACGAATTTGGTTTAATCGGTTTAAATTCACATTTGGTTTAATCGGTTTTAATTTGAAATTGGTTTTATGGGTTATAATTCATATACGGTTTAATCGGTTTAAATTTGGTTTAATCATTTTTTATTAAAATTTGGTTTAATCTGTTAAAATTCTAACAAATATAATATACAGCTTATTATAAACTCTCAACTCCCACATGTCTTCAGACAGTAGAGAATTAATGTTATCCTTGTGTTTGTCTGTAGACCTCCTCAGAAGACTCTCTAAATCTCAGAACACGGTGTTTTGTGGACGAATCCAGCTGTTTTTAGCACGTCTCTTCCCCCTGTCGGAAAAATCAGGTATCTGTTTTACATTGGGTATTTATTTAGCTGTTATTTTTGACTAAGCTGCTAAAGATTTTGCTCCTGCACTACAGGACTAAACCTACAGAGCCAGTTCAACCTTGATAACATCACAGTGTTCAACAAAAATGAGCAGGACAGCACACTGGGACAGCAGGTAATGCAAATGTTCACTTTCATTTGCTTAATATGTTTCTTTTTTGCGAAACGAAAAGATCGTCTTGCACCTAAAACACTAGGGTAATGGTTTCTTCATTAATGTCAGACTTTTTTTTTCTCAGCACACAGAGGTTAAGGAGGAAGGAATGGATGTGGAGGAGGGAGAAATGGGGGATGAAGATGCTCCTGCTCCAAGGTAAAAAAAAATATTTTTACAACCCATTAGCCTGACTGGGGCTGAGGCGATATTCATGGCCATTTTGTCAGTAAAGCCGGTTCTTGTGATCCTTGCACATTTAGATGAAGCCGAGTTTACAACAGACTCGTAGTACACTGAAAATCGGTTTAAATTCGAATTTGGATTAATCGGTTTAAAATCAAATTTGGTTTAATTCGAATTCAGTTTAATTTCGAATTTGTCTAAGTGGTTTAAATTCAAATTTGGCTAAATCAGTTTAAATTTAAATTTGGTTTAATCGATTTAAATTCACATTAAGTTTAATTTGATTAAGTTCAAATCCGGTTTAATTGGTTATATTCGATTTCGGTTTAATCGGTTTGTATTCACATTTGGTTTAACTAGTTTAAATTCGAAATTGATTTAACCAGTTTAAATTGGAATGTGGTTTAATTGGTTTAAATTCGCATTTCGTTTAATCGCTTTAAATTCAAATGTGGTTTAATGGGTAATAATTGGAATTCGATTTAATCGGTTTAAATTTGAATTTGGTTTAATGGGTAACAATTTGAATTTGGTTTAATCGGTTTAAATTTGGTGTAATCGGTTTGTGTTTGAATTCGGTTTAATCGGTTTATATTCAAGTTCTGTTTAATAGACTTAAATTTGAATTTAGTTTAATCGGTTAAAATCGGGTTGATTTAAAATTTATTCTGACTAAATTCAAATTTGGCTTAATCATTTTGTTTTCAAATTCAGTTTAATCGGTTTGTAATTGAATTCAGTTTCATCAGTCTTAATTCAAATTTAGTTTAATTGGTCTTAATTCGAATTCGATTTAATAATAATAACTTATAATATAATATAATAAATAATAATAATAAATAACTTTGCATCACTTCTTAATGAACTACAGCTGTGATTTTTCCCATTAGATAAAAAGTTTATCAGTTATGCGCAGAAGGTTTTTTTTATCCGCATTTTCAAAATATACGCATCTTGCCATTCCTAATAAGCTTCTCTATGTAATTGTGCATAAAAATAGGCAACTGGAAACATAGCTAGTCTTGCTTTTATACTTCATTTGTACAGTTATTACACGCTTTCGTTCCAGTCTAATTCAGGTTTTTGTTTTGTAGCTCCATTCCTATTGACTACAACTTGTACAGAAAATTCTGGACCCTGCAGGACTATTTCAGAAACCCTGTTCAGTGCTACGACAAGTTCTCCTGGATGACTTTCATTAAGGTATTTAATCAACTTGAGGAAACTTCTCAGAAACATCTGAAGGAGAAAGTGTTGTGTTTTTAACATCTGCTGTTGGTGTTCTCTGCGCAGTATTCAGATGAGGCGCTAGCCGTCTTCAAGAGCTTTAAACTGGATGACATGCAGGCGTCGAAGAAAAAGCTGGAGGAGATGAGAACCTCTTCTGGAGATCATGTCTATTTTGCCAAGTTCCTGACCAGTGAGAAAGTTGGTTCTTCCAGTTTTGTTTTTCATTCTTCATTTTTTGCTCCGCACATTGAACCGTTAACTCATGATGAATTTCTCATCTTTCTGCAGTTGATGGATCTTCAGCTGAGCGACAGCAACTTCAGAAGACACATTCTCCTGCAGTACCTCATCCTCTTCCAGTATCTCAAGGGCCAGGTCAAGTTTAAGAGGTGAGTAAGTTGTAAAAAAATAAAGTTTTCCACGATTTTCTCAATCTTTTTTATTTTTTTATTATTTTATTTCTTGCAATGTTTCAGTTCCAGCTGTGTTTTGAATGACGATCAATCTTTGTGGATCGAGGACACAACCAAACTAGTCTATCAGGTTAGTTTTGGCCTATCACTGATTGGAGGATTTCTACAAATGAATTATTAATCACACTGTCACCTCCTTTTTTCATTTGCAGTTGCTGAAAGAAATCCCTCCAGATGGGGACAAGTTTGGATCAATGGTTGAAGTAAGTCGTATCTGCGAATTATACACGCGTATAGACTTAAGTGTTCTCTTATAATAAATGCATAAAGAAATATCAGCTTCTGACTTCAAGTATTGTTCATTTATTGATCATTTCTCCTACAGCACATCCTGAACACAGAGGAAAACTGGAACTCTTGGAAAAATGAAGGCTGTCCGAGCTTTGTGAAGGAGAGGTATTAAACACAAGTGCAGTTATTGTGCTCATGCAACAAGCGTAATGAAGAATCAGGCCCCGTTTACACTAATATGTTTTAGTTTTGAAACACAAACGTTTTGGCTACGGTTACACCTTCCGTCCACACTACCTTTGAGTTACCAAGTGCTGAAAACTGAGTATTTTGGAAAAGTTGCCATTTCTGTGCGGAGTTTGCATGTTCTCCGGGTGCTCCGGTGTCCCCCACAGGGTAGGATAAACCGGCCGTTGTGTGTGTGTGTGTGTCTGTGTGTGTGTGTGTGTCTGTGTGTGTGTGTGTGTGTGTGTGTGTGTGTGTGTGTGTGTGTGTTATCTGCTGCATAAAACATAAGCTGGATAAATTTCCGGCTTATTTCACTGTGGCGACCCCAGATTAACAGAGGGACTAAGCCGAATGAAAATGACTAATATAATATGATAAATATAATTAATATAATAAATATAATATAATATACTAAAATATAATTAATATAATAAATATAATATTATATAATAAATAAAATTTCATATAAGTAAATATAATATAAATATAATATAATAAATATAATATAATAAAATATAATTAATGTAATATAATATTATATAATAAATAAAATTTTATATAAGTAAATATAATAAATATAATATTATAAAATATAATATAAATAATATAATATAATAAAATATAATTAATGTAATATAATATTATATAATGAATAAAATTTTATATAAGTAAATATAATAAATATAATATTATAAAATATAATATAAATAATATAATATAATACAATATAATGTAATAAAATACAATATAATATAATATATACTGTTGTTTCTCTCAGACCCGCAGAGACTAAACCCATCCGGCCCAGCAGGAAGAGACAAGCACCAGAAGACTTCTTGGGGAAGGGCCCTGATCGCAAAATCCTGATGGGAAAGTAAGACAACATTTGACTACAGTGTGTCTAACGGTTCATTTACACATCATTAGGGTGACCCGCCGCAAACTGTCCAATATAGGGTATTCAGTTCTTAAGAATTTGATTCAGATCATATTTTTAGTTCATTTCTGCTGTTCTTGATCATCAACAGCGACGAGCTCACGAGGCTCTGGAATCTGAACCCCGACAATATGGAGGCCTGCAAGTCAGAAAACAGGTTTGTGTTTGCTAAACAATTTACTTAATGGGATAGTTCACTCAAAAATCAAGATTTACTCCTTTTTACTCATCTTCGAGTGTTTCCAAACCTCTAAGGTTGTCTTTTATCTGTTGAACACGAAAGAATATACTTTGAAGAATGCTGGAAACCGGTAACCATTGACTTGCATAGTAGGAAAAACAATAGAAGTCAATGGTTACTGGTGTTTACCATTCTTCAAAATATCTTCTTTAGTGTACAACAGAAGAAAGAAACTCGTTAAGGATTGGAACCACTTGCCTAAATAAAAAATTAAGTGAACTATCCCTTTATTAATAATAATGACAGTAAAGATTTGGCATTAACGCATGTTTTGTTTAAAGGGAATTCATGCCGTCACTGGAGGATTTCTTTGAAGAAGCCATCGAACAGGCAGATCCAGCAAACATGGTGGAGGACGAATACAAGTACAGTGATTTTTACTCATTCAGAATCACAAAGAAAGCAAGAAGCACGTGTTATATTGAGTTTTTCCTCTTTTTAGAGTCGTGCGAAACTCAAACTACGGTTGGCGAGCGCTGCGCCTGCTGTCCAGGAGGAGTCCGCACTTCTTCCAGCCCACAAACCAGCAGTTCAAGAGTCTGGCCGACTATCTGGAGAACATGGTCATCAAACTGGCCAAAGAGCTGCCCGTGAGTGGACACATCCTGACCCAACACTACAATAACACAGTAATAGGGAGAGTTCGCTTACAAATGAACGGTCTGTCACCGTTTACTCTCCAAACCGTTAGCAGATTCTTCTTCTGTTGATAATTAAAGAAGATGTTTTGAAGAATGTTGAGAACTGAAAATTTTGACTTCCATAGTAGAAAAAACAAACAATGGAAGTCAATGGTTACTGGTTCAGCTTTCTTCAGAATATCTTAATTGTAATTATATATAATGAGTATTATACATTAATATATATATTTTGACTTTGAGTAAATGTTAATATTTGCTTTATTCCTTAAGTTTGAGAACGTTTGAGTTATTCCATCAATTATTGTTTTGTTTAAGGTAAACATTAGTATTGTGTCGTCTATAAAATAAATATTAACGCATCTGAAAACGTGGCAGCTTTATTTTTGTGCAACATTTTATTTGATATGGAGAAGAAATGTCATCTGTGGTTTACAGAAGTGAACTTTGATAAAATTGTGTATTTGGTAAATTGTAATTTGGTAAATTTTAATAAGTTCTGGTAAAAATTAGTATGTTTTTTTTAACTAGTTGTTTATTTTAAACATTATTGACTTGCATTGATATATAAATCACATCTGTAAATTTAAATAGAACTTTATTTACTTATTTTATGCAAAAACGTGAATCTTTTGTTTTAACAGAAAGACATTCCTTCTGAGGTGATTAAAACCGGAGAGGAGGATGATGATGAGAATGGAGATAACCTGCTGAAGGACAGTAATGACAGTGAGTTTCTGCTGCTTTTCTGATTAAACATTGAACATTTTTAGCGCTTTTGACTTCCCTCGCATTCTGTTCCATTCAAGTAGCAGCTCTATTAACTACACAGAAGACGGTGGAAAAAATAAATCCTGTTTGCCTGCTTTTTGTGTATAAAGCATCGTCATGGAAAACTGCTGCAAAGGTCAACTGTAAAAAAATTTGTAAAAGTCTTGTTTCTAGTCCAAATATCCACAACAGGGGTTCTCAAACTCGGTCCTGGAGGGTCAGTGTTCTGCAAAGTTTAGCTCCAATCCCAATCAGACACACCTGGGCTCGCTAATCAAGCTTTTACTAGGCTTTCTAGAAACATCCCTGCAGTTGTATTGAGGCAAGTTGGAGCTAAAATCTGCACCCCTGATCTATAAATTAATAAATCGGTAAGCAATTTCTATACCAGTAGTGCCCAAGCTGGATCCTGGAAGGTCAGTGTCCTGCAGATTTTGGCTGTTTCTCAATTCCAAGAACGCAGAGAGCAGACTTGTGTTCTTGTGGAGAGCGGTCTTGCCTGGTGTCCTCTGAAGAACGAACTCGGGAGACCGCGAGAACAGAGAACGCGTACTGTGAGGAATGAGATGCTGCGTTCTTCCTGATGGTCACATGACCTTCACGTGTTTTAAATGGAAATTATTTAAACATTACAGCCTTCATACAAAGATTTGTTTTTCCTCTTTTTAAAATATATACTTTGCATAAAAACATTATAAATATACTCTGCACAATATAAATAAACACATTTTAATACGAATTTCAGCAAACAAACACCCTTAATGTGTTTATATTAAGACGTCCATGCTAATGTTTACTTTCACAGTTTCATTCAGGGAAATTCCGGAGGTAAATAAGTGATATCTATGAACTTTAATAATAAATCTAAATAAAATGCTGCGCTTCCCACCTCCAGTCGCAATGACTTCTGGGACTTCCAGAGCGAGTTCGGTGCTCAAGTCTGCATCGGTGCATCCTCTATCAAGAACACATCCGGCAACCGTCACGCGTCTTCCGTACTTGAGTATTGGAACTGGACTTTGGCTGCTGATGATGACGTTACACGAGAATGCAAGACCGCTGAAGAACGCATATTGAGAAACAGCCTTTAGCTCCAACTTACCTCAACACACCTGCAGGGATGTTTCTAGAAAGCCTACTAAGAGCTTGATTAGCGAGCCCAGGTGCGTCTGATTGGGACTGGAGCTGAAATCTGCCAGACGCGGACACCGACTCTCCAGGACTGAGATTGAGAACCCCTGTTCTAAATTAATAAAAAAAAAAAATTTTCTTGAAATAAGTTTTTAAAAAAAAAACAATTTTATTTTTTTTCTCCTAACAAGCAGAATAATCTGTCAGTGCAGTAAGTCGTTTTCAGTTTGATTGATTGATTTCTCACAGAATGCATTTATCCTTGTTATTCTATGTAAATGTGCTTGATCATTATGTTCGCGTCTTTTTTTAAGTGTTTTGTGACTTTTACACGCAGTGCTGCTAATCGATGTCTGTTCAAAAGTAGTGGACCAATCAGAAGAGCTCAGAGGCAGGGCAAGCACTACAAGCTTCTGTTTACAGTAGCAAGCTAGCATGACAACATCTGTATTTGACATTAAAGGTCCCATGAAATTAAGGTGTTTTTTTTTTTATTTATGTTAGTCTTAAGGACCAAAACATGTATTTTAAGGACCCTAATGTTTTTTTATTTTTTTTTTTAAAGAATGGGGCAAAGATAATGTACATATGAAATCAAAACTAACCATGTCGATTTTGTTAGCTTGCATTGCTAGTTTTGTGGTGAACAATTCATTAAGAATTGCATGTCATTAAGAAAAACTAAAATAGTTTGCCCTGAGATCAAAATCTGAAAATGCACTTCCTGTTTGTTTCCAGTTAAATTCTTAGAATAGGTCTGTTGTAGGTATTGGGTGTGGCTAACATACTTAACCACGCCCTCCAGCTGTCAGTCAACAAACAGAAATAAGGAAGAGGAGTCTGTTAGATTATATTAACTCTCCCCAAACCCTTTTCCCTATCTTTTTGAATGAAACGCCTACTGTACTACATCCAATCAGCTCGCAGCAGAAAATATGCCACGCCCATTGTTTTCTCATTTAATATTCCATTTCTCTAGAGCAGTGGTTCTCACAGTGGGGGTCGGGACCCCTTGAGGGGTCGCGGAACAATGAAGGGGGGTCGCCTGGTGATTTCCAAAAATCTACTTATTATTATTATTATTATTAGGCCATAAGAATTACCATATTTTAGTCGTTTATAGTTACTATAGCAGCTTATTTACTTGTTCTATTGGATTGCGTCCCCAGGGGTAATTACATTATATTAAAGACAGCAATAGCGTCAGATTGATTTTTTTAACACCAGGTTAAACTTTCTGGCCCATTTACAGCACTGAAATACATTTAAAAAATTAAACGAAGAATAGACTTTGGTCTATTGGTGTGTGTGTGTGTGTGTACCATTGCATGCAAGGTTTCTGTATTTATAACAACCTCAGAGGATATTGGGGGTCGCGAGTCACTGTCATTGTTATTTTAGGGGTCGCGGGCTGAAAAGTTTGGGAAAAAGGTGGCCAACCCTGTTCCTGGAGAGCCTCCTTCCTGCAGATTTCAGTTGCAACCCTTATCAAACACACCTGCCTGTAATTATCACGTGGTGTTCAGGTCCTAATTAATTGGTTCAGGTGT